TGGCTCGCTGCTGTGTTTTATGGCTTTCTATTCCTATGTGATTTTCTCTGGCATGTCACATAGGGTCTAAAGCCATTGGGTACAGAGTGGGAGATCTGCAGACAAGGATTAGATGGATATATGGGATGGCAGTAAAGGGATAAAAGAAGAGCTCATGGAGGTTTAATAGTATATAGTACACACAAATGCATGCGCGCGCACACACACACACACACACACTGCATATGGCCCGAGGCATTTTTGTCTCTGCTCTCAGGCAGCCCAGAGCCCAGCTCAGCTAATTGCCCCCATATGAGACAGGTTGAATCAATCCTTAAACCACACACACACTCAAGCACACGCGTGAATGCAGACACTTCATGTTTCATCTGTGCTTGTGTTTTTGTCACCCACTCACTCCCTCTTGCACAGCGCACACACACACACACACACACACACTCCCCAGCCAGGCCTGCTGGTGCTGCTGACTCAGGTTGGTATTTAATGAAGCTCTTAGTTTCACCTCGCGTCTCCTAATCTCAGAGCTCATTTGTGATTGGCTGCTCGAACACTGGCGAAAAATGTTAACGCTTGGAGTTTAGTGAGCCTTAAGACATGCGTGTGTATGTGTGTGTGTGCGTCTGTCTGTCCATCTGTTTGCGTGAGAGGGAGCCAGAGATAGAGACAGAGTTGCGCAGGGAGAGAGTAACTGAAGCGCAGACATGGAGAAATGTTGAAAAATATGAGAAGTGTAGCAGTAAAATGAGTTTTTCTCCTTGCTGAGTGACAGCGCTCAATAGACTGTGTGTGTGTGTGTGTGTGTGTGTGTGTGTGTGTGTGTGTGTGTGTGTGTGTGTGTGTGTGTGTAATGACCTACTGACTGAACCCCTGTAACTTTATCTACATGGAGTTTTTTCTTGCTTAATGGGCTGAACATGGTTTTCCGTTGGCGGTGTGTTGGCAGATCGTAGGGAGCTTTGGACCGTCTACCTGCAGGGAGCGTCTGTTACCAGATGGAGGCAATGTCCTAAGTATGTGTTAAACTGGTCTCTGGGCTACTGTTGCATGTGCTGCTGTTGGTCGCTCAGCCAGCCGTGGAGAAGAGCAAAGTCCTAACATTCAAAAAACTGAATGTCTGTCAAAAACCGCTGTCTGTGCTTTTCAAACTCTGGTTTTGATCTCATTCCTGATGAATTCCATGCACGAGAGCACGTTTGTGTAGACTGAAAATCTCTCTCTGTAGGCAAATACCTATGCAAATATACAGCAGCAGCATAAAACAAGTATAAGGCACTGCAAATATGTGGAGACAACCACGTGCAGATATCTACACAGTCACACACGTCACATAACATCACTTGCACATCTGTACACCTTTACCATATAAGTGACGATAAATCTCAAAAGATTAAGAAGTTAATCAGTGTTTTTGCAGGTAAGATCATTTAGTTTTGGTCACACAGGAACTTCCATCAGTCCATTGGCTGTAACTCTTTCGTTTTGTAGAGTGAGTGTTCGCAGACTACAGCCAGTGCCGACCCCTAACCTCAACCCTACCACTTGACAAGAAAAAAAGGCTCTTGTATGCTTAAAAAAAGAGGGTGATTTTTGTTAGTCTCTTGTCTTTCATCCATAATATCAGAGTCATGGCTGGTACACTGGACAAATTTACGACATTTATTTTTTTTGAACCAAGCTCGATTTTTGTTTGGATCCAAATAAACAGATCTGACCAGTCAGACCACTCGTAGCTTAAAATAAACCAGTCGTGAATATAAAATGATATGGAAATGGTTAAATATCTTTTAGATCAAATATTACCTTAGACACACAGCTGCTCCGGGTCAGTCAGCTCTCTGATATTATTTCGCTGCCTCCTCAGATGGGGTCCCAACTCTGCCAACAAGAGTTCAACCTGCCCCACTGATATCCTGAAATATGTATGAAAGTGCTCGTGATACAGCTTCATCTCCTGGATCAATCCATGAAACTCTCTCTGTTGCTGCTCCCTTGTCTCAAGAATGGGATGGGTTAGGAATCTGTTTCTTCCTCATCTTATTTGGAAACATTGGGACCATCTCATCATCTCTTGATGCCGTCTTAAATTTTTTTCTACGCTGCGTTTTTTGTTGTTGTTGTTGTTGTTTTTTAAAGACAGATTTTCCACACACAAACATTGATAAATACTACAGGTTTTAAATGTAACCTCAACAAAAATGTGACTACAAAAAATTAACACAAACATAAAGGATCACTTTGATATTCTACGGTCAACTCTAGGTGCTTTATATTGTAAGGTAAAGAACCTACAATAATACAAAGAAAACCCCAACAATAAGAAGACCCTCTATGAACAAGCACCTTGGCGACAGTGGGAAGGAAAAACTCCCATATAACAGGAAGTAACCAGGCATAGGGAGGGACGCCCATCTGCCACAACCAGTTGGGGTTAAGGGGAGGAAAACCGAGTCAGAACATACATATACATTCCATAATAACTAATGATAAATACAGAGTAGTGTATAAAGACATAAATGGCACATTACAAACACTGAAAGTGTTAAAGTGTACATTATCTTGTGAAACCCTCATTTGAACGTTCGGGCCTAAAGCTTGCACCAGCTGACACTCGCTAAGAGGCGGCATGCACCCTCAACAAATCAGCAGTCCATCCGCAAAGATATGTGTCAGTTTGTATCAGGTGGTTTTGAAACAGATTCACCAACATCAGTGTTTATGAACCAACGCACCTGCTTATTGGGACATAGACTTGCTGTGTTTTAAAATACTCTAGGGTTGGGCACCTTGCCCCCACAGTAGCCTAGCTATTGCTGATTGATTTTTGGCAGCCTTAATGAAAAAAGATGAAGTTCTAGACTTTCACCAGAAAAAAACACACCAAATGTAGTCAGCAAGAGCTGCCAAATAGATCAATAAACACATACATACAAAAAAATAACCCAATTTGAAAAAATAACCCAAGTTTCTATGCATAAAAGATACCTAGAAGAATGAAATGACAATAATTATCCCCGTGTTTATTACTGGCTTCGACGAAGGTGTAAAAAAATATAATATGATCAAAACTGTAAATTTTGGTTGAAATAACTAACCTGAAGAGTGAGTCATTGAAAACAACTTTAATGAACATGGTTCAGAAATTGTCAAGTACAGCTGCAGCAAATTTGATGCACCAGCCATAGTTACTGAGTAAGTGATGGCCTTTGGTGAATATGCAGTACTTGACAGGAGTTTCGATCAGCTGTTCCTGGTCCCAGTTCAAGGACAGGGAGAACATCAACAACAATCTTCTACTTTTCTATTCCAGTGTGAATGCACACAGTATGAAAACAGTATTTCTGTGGGAGCTAAACAGTAAATACAGGCCAATGTAACACATGTTCTCCATGTGAGCGGGACCTTTCAAATGCCCATTCTTTGCCCTGATCTAAGTTATCATCAGTTATGAACCTGACACTAACCCTAATCCTTACTGTTTGCCATCATGTCATTTTTTTTTAAAAAATGTTCTTCCAAGTGTTTGCTTGTCAGACTCATGACACTGACCAGCATGATCTTCCCAACGGTTTCTTTATTAATGGCAACATACCGTCTCCTCAAAACAGGAGACCAGACTGAGATCGCCTTCCTAACTTACTGATATAGTGGATGCCAACTGAATGTTGCGTTCTCTCCACTGAAAGCCTGTCCAAGGTTCACACTTGTTTTACATTCAATATCTGTCACTTTTACCTTTAAAATTAGCTCATCACTCATTAGCTCAGTCCTGACTCCAGTGTCTTAGAGAGAAGCAGAAAAGCACTCTTTCTATATCCCCTTATTGCCAAGACTTCAGAGAACAATTAAAAGAACACAAACATGTGTAGGGTTAGTGTCAGACATCACTGGTGACGCCCTGGACCACACACGGCCTGATTTAGAAGTGGAAAAATACTTTTGGGACTAGCATCTTATTCTGCTCAGTAATGTGGTAGCTGTAGCAACTTCTATTTAAAATTAACTGGTAAGTATTTTCACTGTAGAGATTTCATGTATTGAAATAGAAAGATTGTCAGTGATGAACCTGTATGCCATCATATCAATATTTTATAGGAGCACCTAATTTTATACATTTAAAAAAATGTTCTTCCAAAAGTTAACAGGCAGAGAACAAAGAACTGTAAAACTCGTGTTTTTTAATTGGCGATAAAGTATCTGAATTTCGGGAATAGGACCATGCCTCCAAACACGCTCCTTCCGGTTCCCATCTATATATGTTCCCCAGTTCAGAATCAGAATCAGAATACTTTATTAATCCCGAAGGAAATTAGGCTTCTACAAGCTGTTCCTTCTCATTTACGTGTCCCACCCTCCCTCCACCTTTCAGTTCTTTAACTTCTTCACTTCTATTTAGTACATGGGGATCTGCCGGGTCTGGGAGCCGCCGCCAGCCCCCTTCGAGGCCTTCCCCAAACCGCAGCTCAATTCACGTCCAAGCCATTCACCTTTATCTACTAAAAAGCTGTCAAACCTAAAATGAGGATGTGGGCCCAGCGAGTGAAAATGCTTTTTGATTAGGGTCAGGTTCAAAGATAGAGTTGGGATTGTTTCCGATGATAACTTTGACCTCTGAGGGTTAAGAGCTTACAGGTCTGTGCAGAGCCTTTAGATTCATGTTGATTACAGTGAAATTTAATTTAGTTGGGGAGGCTCTCCCCATTTGTGTTCCAAGCATAAAAAGGATGCTAATCACTGAAGCATTTATTGTTTTAGATGGTACCTCTGCTTAAAGAGTCCACTGCACATAAAGAAATGGCCACTAGCTTAATCTTTGCTAAGTTCCATCCAGAAAACTGGCTTTCCTGAAACGTGCATGAAAGGGAAGCTTCTTCTTCTATTGCAGATATCCATGTGTGTTCCAAGAAAAAGTCCTTATCATGAGCACTAGATGAAAGAGGACTGTTTTAATGCTTTACCTATTCTTCTCTCTCTCCCCCTCTTCCCTCTGTGTCCATTCACAGGTTCACGTAGATGCGGTGCATCAGATAGGACATGCCCTTCACCTGCGCCTGCTTCTGTGGCCTTAATGGCTTCTGCCGCAGACGGAGGAAGAAGAAAAGTGATCAAGTGGAGGATGAGGAGTGTGAAGAGGTAGAGCAATGGAGGGATCAGGAGACACAGGTGTGACAGCATTGCTGTCAGCCCAGCTGTCTTCACCTTTTCTGTGGGATTTATCCCTAATGGACCGAAATGTGTGGCCTGGGTTATCACTGCTCAGTACAGCCTCCACTGTCTGGTATGCTGCCTGGAGACATTATAACAGAGATGGTAAAGGGGGTTCAACGAGCACAGGCTTTTATTTAAAGTTTAAAAAAAAGAAAGAAAAGGTGCTTTCGAATCAGGTACTGTATTTTTCCCAGAGTATCGGTGACTAACACTTCTTCTTTTGTACTTTTTAACCTGGCTAAACTCAACAAGCACAAGGCTGTCTTGAGCCACGCTCTTCAAGTTGAAAATAAAAGCCTGCGAACTCCTCGCTCATGCCCATTACACATCCCTGCAGCACTCTCATTTCTCCCTTGGCAGCTGACTGAGAACTTTGCTTTTGCTGATGTGATTCCAAAAAAAGAGAAAAAAAATCGTATCTGTTTGATTAATTTCTTGCCATAGCTGGCGTTCCTCACAAGGTGCGAAGAGGCGATGGACTCTAGAAATCCATTATTTTTCTGAGTCGCACTCCTCACCGCTCCTCCGTGGGGGCTGAATTAGAGCCAAAGCTCGACGGAGCTCTGCACCTCCTCACCTACCTGCTTATGTCAGATCAACTTAGTGAAAACTTCAGCTGAGTGAGAAAGTGTGCAGTAATTTCCAGAGTCACCCATGGAGGGCCGGAGCCCATCTCGGCTTTTCACGCTGCGCTGGGCTCCATCTAAAGCCAAGCAGCTGTCCAATCAGCAGCTTAGCTGGAGTGTGAAGATAGGAGTCAGGGGTCAGAGTGAGCAGCGGAGTTTGGGAGAAGTCCTTCCGCTTACGGCGTAGCATCTCTGTCTCATTAACAGGCAGACGAGTAATTACAAACACACGCACACATGGATGCAGACCCATCAATTAATGTCCCCCATTGGGAGAGGAGTGTCTGTCCGTAAATGCCGTTGCAGTGCTCTTCCAGCTGTCACCTGTTTGAGTGTAGGACTCTGCGAGTGTTGTGTGTGTGTCTGTGCTTCTTCTTGGCTGCAACAATAGCTTTTCAAAGCTGAAACAAGTGGTTAAGATATCTGCTCAGCCACTACAGTACAGCCTTTCCAGAATGCACATGGAGACGCAAAGACAAAAGACACACACACACACACACAGGTCTCATTAGCATGTGTGATTATGCATGGCACGTCCAGTCAGGCAGTGGAGATGTAATTAACCTTTTCCAGCAGGAAACAGATGCCTGGATGTCACACACAAACACACATGCTATGGCACACATACACACACACTGACACACACACACGTCTGCTGTCAGGGAAACAAAGCCAACGTCATGGTGTCACGGAAACAAAGCCCCAAAAGCGCCGCCTGGCACTCTGTGATAATCCCCTCACGCATATTTACATTCAGGGCTTAGAATACGCCTCAGTGCCGCCGTCTCCACCCCCTGCTGCACGCTGTTTCGCCCCCCTCCCCAACTTCTTCGCTGCCATCCTCTCTCCCCTCTCCAATCTACCTTCGGGCCTTCCACCTCATTCGCCCGAAGTCCTCTTGCTATCTCTCCCTCTGCTCCATCTTTCAATCGTCGTGTCCCGAAACTCTCTCCTTGCTCGGATTCATCTGTTTATTATCGGTGGATAGTACATGGCCTTGCATGGCAGCTCCCATAGATTAGCCCCCCACCCCTCTCTCTTTCTCTGTCTGCGAATATCAGGGATTCCTTCAGGCGGGCAAAAAGCTGCTTTACGACAGATTAATGGACGGCCCTGATTGTGTCTGTTGGTGTGTGTCTACGCCTGCATGGAATAGATTGTCTGTTTACTCATTCTCCTGCTACAAGCGGCGAAATGAGACAAAGCTAAAGCCATTTCACAGTGTAGAGCACCTATTATGATTCACTGTGTTACGACGCAGCCCTAATGAGAAAGAGAGAGAATGAGAGGAGGGACGATAGCGGAGGAAGAGAGAGAAAGACGGTAATGAGAGCACGAGCTGGATGCGTGTGTGTGTGGAGGGGGGGCTAATGCTAGACAGAGCAGTCATGCTAATTGGCTACAGTGGATAACTTTCTGAGGTGGGGCATGAGAGTGTGTGCGTGTGGGGGGGAGGCAGCGAAAAGAACAGCCTGATCTGTCGGCGTTGCACTCGTTTAACTCCCTCCATTTCACCTCTTTAATGAGAGGAATATTCGCTCCAGTAATGGAGAAAGACTTTAAATTGGTAACGATTTGTTGCTCACACACACACACACACACACACACACACACACACACACACACACACACACACACACACACATGCACAGAGGTGGTACGATGTGGTGGTGGGGCAAGTGAGGATGGGGTGGGGGTAGGGCTGGAGGGTGAATTGGCACTGGCAACGGTGTGTGTGTGTGTGCGAGCATGTTCTCCCTCAAGCACCACAACCCCTTTATGGATCATGGCAATTTTCGGGGATTGTAACTCAAGGACAAACAGCTAAAAATAGAGGGGTGGTGCATGACTCCTGCGAGAGCGGCGAGGGGGAGGGCGGGTTGTGGGAGGAGGTGAGCGCACGGGGACGGCGAAAACGAGTCCTGTCGCATTAGATTTGGGTCAGAAACGAGGGAAGAGCCGGCGAAGCGGAGAGTGTTACAGACGGCTGGAAGATTCATCACTTGCTGCTCCCTGTACGTCTCACGCGTCTCCTTCAACACCTTGCTGCCCCTCCTCTCTGCTCCCACACATCATGCGCACACCTGCAGGAGATGGAGAGGGGAGGGCGCCGGGAACAAGGACGCCCAGAGAAAGGGTGAGAAATTGGTGAGAAAAGACGGTAAACCACCGGAAAGACAAAGATGTAATATCAGGGCAGAAAAGGCAAATTTGAAATGTGGCAAAAAAAGAGAGTGAACTTCAGTTAGGTTAGATATAATATTAATATATGTCATCCGATTCAAAGGCCCTTTGCTGCATAATGAGGTCATACATAAATTCAAATGGTGGATGATACTAGTAGGGAATGAACTCTAATGAAAGGGACTTACTTCTGAATTGCATCAGAAGCTCTGTTCCCCCAGCTTAAAGGAGAAGCTTCACACAGTAGGCTTATTTGCTCCTGTGTCAAAATGGCTAATCTTCTGTCTGCACGTTTAATTGTTAGCAAAAGGAAAAGGGCAGACTGAAGTCTTTACACGAAAGTGTCATTTCCCAAATGTCGGACTTCTGCTTTATTCTGAAGGGGAGCGAGTTAATCTACCTAACCCCATGTAACCCAACGATAGTTCCCTGTGAATTTAAAATGAGACTTCTGAACCACATTATTTAAGATCCATTTGAAAACACGAATCACCAAAAATCGACCGCTCCAAAGATATTTTCATTGTTGGGCATTTGGATACAACCCAAGATTTGTCTTAGTTGGTTTGCGACTACTTACAAATCATGAGTAGTTGCAGTGTCACGTATATACTGTATATATATATATATTGCAGATATAGTCCAAACATATGTGTCCGCATTTCCAGCAGCTTAAGGAAATGACATGATGTTGCAGATGTTACAGGAGTTTGTGGTGGGGTTAGCTGTACAGCATGATTATTATAGCAGGGTTAGCAAACTCAACCACAGACTTTATATAAAAGATGGATATCACCAATTTGACTCTGTATTTGAAACCTCAGATTAAATTATTCATAGAGACCAAAACATTCTTTTCACTATCCCAGGCTGTAAATGTGCTAATTTCATGGCAAAAATTGGCCATCTAAATATTTCTGTAGTTACTGACTTACCCTCAAGTGGCCAATATAGGAACTGCAATTTCTGCACCACAGGTTGACCGTTGTAGTAGAAGTTCTTATTCTGGTTCAGACAAGTCATGATCAACACGAGCTGATGGATCAAATCTATTTGCAAGTGATGTATAAATCAAAGAAGACCTTTGTAGACCCCAGACAAATGACAGTATTGCTGGCACTAACATAAAGTTGTGTGGTATTCAGGGAAAACCAGTGAAACTAGCTCACATGGTTGCACCACAGTTGCAAGCTGTTCAGTCAGATGGGTGTTCTAGTAGCCTGGTATTGTAGATGAATGCATTATACCTGCAATATGCCACAATTTGATTCTGGCCACCAGCCTATGTGTCACTGTCAAATAAAAGGCAAAATTTCAAAAGAATAATCTCAATAAAAAATTACGCAGTAAGCGTGCACATACACTTAGGTGGCAGACCCGATCTCTCTGTGCAAACATCCCCACATGCAGATAGACACACACATCACACACGCACATATACCCTACCATTCATCACACTGTTGTCCCACCATTGCTTCTGCTTCTCTCACCCACATCTGTTGTGTTGTTCCTAATGAAGAGAAAAGTGATGGTCCCACTAAGGCTAATTAGGAGAAATGAGATGCGCAGTGATGATAGACTGGTGATAGTCAAGAGGGAAGTGCTAACGCCGGCCGATTAGAGCTCCCACCGGCTCTGGAGTATCAGAGGAGTGGAGCGGGAAAAATGGGGGATAAAAACAAGCAGTGGAAGGAGAAGGAGGGAGAGATATATAGCGTAATTGAGACTGTAATGGGTTTTGTCAGGAGCACCTGTCAGGGTCAAGTTAAAATGGCTTCGGTGAGAGAGGAAGAGAGGGATGAGAGGATGGGAGAGCGGAGAAGGGGCCAATTGGAGTCAGGATCCTGGTGAGGAGAGGCCCTCGTCCATGCCAACCTCACCTGATTGCCAATTTGTGCCAGTCTTCAGGCATCAAACACAATATGAGCCACAGTGAGACACACAAACACCTCTGATTGGAGAGTGGTAACCAGCTAAAAGCACCCATGCACACTCAATCACACAGACGGGCGCAAACTCACACTGACAGCCCACCTACGCCTGTTGATTGGGCACATCTAGCCTCTTAACAAGGTGTCCACGGTGCAGACCCAGGCGTGTGATTGAAAGATAAAACTGTCGCCATTAAATATCTAATTCTCCCCCACGTCTCCATGAAAATAAGGCGCGGTGCTGATTAGATTGCAGCCTGCTGTGCCAACCTCAGGTCTGCGCCTTGGTCATTACCAGCCCCCCCAACTCCACCAGGCCCAACCAGTCCTTGAGTTGCCAACCACACATGTGCTCCTCGTGATAGAAGAGCAATTCTGACACCCTCGAGAGCTGAGGTCGATGCCTGAGGAGTTATGAAATTAAGTTGAGTAAAAATGTATTTATAAATCACTACTAAAGCTGCACCTGGCAATTTAGCATGCTGCCAGACCCAAATGGCTGCACTGCATAACTGAAAATGTAAGACTTTACAGAAAAATTCTGTTAGGGTGGCGTCAGTGACTGCCTGACTCATGGGCCAGGGTAGTGGAGGTGCTGTAGAGGACGAGATCCATCATCCTGGGGATAAAGTCCTCGCTGCTGCTGTTTATGGATTTGCCTTTTCAATTTTTTTTTTCAACATTTTTTGTACTAGCAAACATTTTGATGCTGCATGCCACATTTGAAGTGAAAGGTGGAGACTATGCCTGGTGCCTCAGTCAGATATATCGGCTCTCAGTGACATCATACAGAGCCAAGAGCAGAAAAACCAGTCTCAAACCTAGTGCTCACAGAAGTGTGAATCTTGACCTTTGGCTGTCTGCATTTAAAACGTCTAAGAACAGAAAATAACTGAAACGTAGTCTTATTTAAGAGTCTGAGGTGACAACCTGTTTGTTATTAGATAGAATGTAACCTTCCACCAGGTTCCTGAAACTCCTGAGTGGCTTATTAATAGATGTGCTGCACTGTTTTTAAAATGTAGTATTTGCAAATGTACTTGTTTTTTCAAATCCTCAAATTAGAAATTCATTCATTTCCCAGCAGTGTTATAGTTTGTTCACAGTTGCTGAAAAATTTCCATAAATATTCAGTGATGGTTTGAAGAAAATGTTGTGTTGGGTAAATTAACACCACAAAGAATCGTCCAAAAATCACAACAAAGAATATTTTTTTTAAATCATGAAAACAGAAATATGGCTTTCACCACACAGCGATGTTAACATTTGTGAATACTATTTACAGATAATAGATGTGAATTTGAGCTTAGGAAGAAGTGGAGGAAGCCATGCAAGATAGCGGACCCTGCGTCGCGGGATATAAACCGCTAGGAAGAAGAAGATGTGAATTTGAGCTAAAGGGTAATTGACAAAAGGCAGAGTAAAGAAAAGAAGCAGAAAATGTTAAGGCCTACAATTCCCATCATGCAACTCAAGAGAAATAGCAGATAAAAGTCCCTAAAGAGCCCCAGTAAATATAGCTGAGTTCATACATTGAGAGATGTGATAAGTAATTACGAAAAAGAAAATATGTATAATTAAAGAAATCCGGGGTGGGTAAAATGCGAGGGCTTTGACTCCTGACATTAGAGTTTCTGGCTACGGCCCTGGTGCTCATCTACACAAACCCCATAATTGTCCCTTTGTGCTGCATGATTTGCCTTAAACATAAACCAACAGCCCGATTTTTTTGTACTAACTTTTTTAGTTTGTTGATTGTAAGCTGGAGTAAAATCCTCAAGGTCCGCTTGCTATATTTTGCAAGTACAAATACAGCATCAAAGCGTCAGGAAAATGAACTCTTTGGACTCTTCTCCCTTGTGTATCTCCTCAGCCTTCACCGCTAACTGGAGAAATGAAAAAATATCTTGAAGCGGAGGCTTTCGGTGTATTTACTCTTCCTCACAAATTAGCAAGATACTCCGCCACTTCAGTTGCCTTATTTTTCGACCGGGTGGGGGTGAGGGTGGCGGGAGGCTCCGTTTATTGGAACATTTGCTGCTAACGCTGGAGATGTGAGATTATTTTGTATACTTCACTGCACCAGCAGCTTCACTGGGGAGCTCACTTTGCAGAATATAACCTGGTTCACTGGCACAATTTAGGCTTCGGAGCAGTTTAGCTTAATGGTCTTTAAGTGTCAGAATTTAGTAAGGGTAATGAGAAATTTTCTTTAAAGAGCAGCCTCAGCAGCAGCCCTGCCAACAAAATATCAAATTGATGTCTATTTGAGATGCTGGAAATACCCCAGGGCCTTCAGTTTTAGTGGGCTGAAGGTTAAAGGAGATGCACAGCGAGATGGTCGCTTTTTCCCACCATCACCTTTAACGGACTCTTCCATAAGTCTCCACAACTGATTCAGTTGCTTCAGGCTGTCTGCTCTCTTACACGTGCCATTTTCCACACATCCCCTGTTTTATACTTTTGTGTTATTGAGCTGTGTTTTCAAGCGTACAGAGGAAAACTTTTCTAATTGGCAGGCGGAGGAGGTGGGGGGGCTGTAAATAAGGTCAGGCATCCCACATATCTGATGCCAAATCACCATCATCAATGGGAGATAAATCAATCCCTCGCTGCTTTTTCCTCTTCATCCCGCCCCGCCTCCCATTCTCTCTCAAACTCCCTCTCTCCTTCGCGCACATAAGCACTCCCACCGAGGCCGATCGATACCGGAGCGGGTATTGAGCAGTGGCTGTGGTCCAAATGAGAGTTTGATTTCTCGTGGGGGGTGTTAGCCCCTGTAACCATGGTGTTGAGTCCCCATCGGGGACCTCTTCGCCAAACGCTCGTTGATGAAGTGCGCGTGAGAGCAGCGAGCGTGCGCTTTAAACACCTTTTGATTTAGCTGCGCTCGAGAACAATACTTTTCATTAGCGGCTGATAGCATTCATTAAGAGCAATTCAGCATGGCCGCTAATGAGCTGATCTGCTCTTGAACACTTCATCCTCCTTGAAAAACAATCAAGCGCGAGAGAAACTTGCCCTGACTGGAAAACCAGAGTTCATCACAGCTCCAAATCAGTGACGAATAGCCGGTTGATTCTTTGGTTGGGAAGCTCTAGCTTTGAGCTCCTGATTGCAAATCCACCCGTTGGAGCCTATTCATTTACTAATCTGGCGATACAGTTTGTCTAAACTGACACAAAGCCTGTGCCTTCAGTCCAGTACGCGGCCAGAGCAATCGCAGAATCCGTCCGTCAGCCGCTTCTTTGCCCGCGGGAGCCTCAGTTGTCTTTGACAGGAATTCGTTTGTAGCACCTTACAAATTCTTTCACCCCCGTCAGATTTCTCTGCCCTCTGTCTCCTAACAACACGTGGAGCAGCCTGTTTGTCTGAGGGTGAGCAATGCTATCTGCTTCTTTCTTATATTATTCATATCCCAGTGCCTTTGCAGCGGAAAAACAAGCAAGGCAGAGAGAGGAGAGAAAAGATGGGGAAGGGACCTTTGACAGAGCAGCTCTGATGAAGAGCGCGACATAGTGAGATACATAAACATGAGGTCAGAGAGTGCTGCGGCGAGAGACGGAGGAGGGAGGAAAAAAGCCGAGAGAACGAACGAGTACAAGGGAAAAGCAGCTGAGAGGCAGCGCACAGCTTCAGAAAGGTTGTCCGTCATTGACGGAAATCCACCAATCAATGCTTTGGCACAACACACACATTAACCTGTGATGAAGGGTGTGTGTGTGTGTGTGATGGAGGAGAGAGTGTGCTACTGGTTTGAAATGCAGAACACGTCAAGAGTCCTAGGGAGCTCCTTTTGCAGCAAAGCCTCATTAAAGAGACACTTGCCTTAAAGCAAGGATATACTGCCAGACCACACACACACACACACGCAGGCAGACTCACTCAGGCTAACAGAAAGGGACACACACACAGGAGCAGCTCCGGACAAAATCGAACCCGAGTGCAGAGATAAATGTAGACGGGTAAATGCGGCGCTCTAATCCCTTTCCCCATTTCCTCTCCTTGTTCTCCATTTGAATAAAGTTTCATTTAACACCCCCCACCCAACAATCTCACACTAATATTATATTCATGTATATTTGATTGTGTCAACTCTGTGGAGATTGGCTACGCTGTATCTTGTGTGCCTTTTTAAAAATGCATCGATGAATAAATAATGTCTGTATTCGCTGATTGAAAAAGCCATATTGCCAGGAAGCCATGATGAAATGATAATGTAATATCTGTCCCTGTGCCGAATAAAGTCAAGCCATCCCTGCACCCCCTCTTTTTTTCTTAATTCTCTCAGTAAATGAAACCTGAAGCTCTGCAACTGCACCTTACACTGCCTGATGACATTCTGCTGTATGGTTTGCACTGCTGCACTAAGTATGTTTTAATAAAGACGAAGCTTCTTTCTGTACGTCTGAATGCTGTGTGCTTGTTTCCAGATATTAATAAAGAGAAGCCTGCCATTTGCAGTCCACCCCACCCCCACCCCTCTGAGCGTCTCCCCCTGCTAATTGACAGTGATAGCAGAGACTCGTCTCCTGGGCTGATGTTGGGAGCCTAATAAAGATGCATTACCCACCTCCCATCTTCACATCCTCCCCCACCTCCTCCTCCTCCTGCTATCCCCACGCAAGCTGATTAAACTGATAAACTGTGCCAAAAAAGAGCCAGAGATGGGGATGTAAATAATGAAACAGCAGCGAGTAAAAGGAAGAGTCAGTAGGGGAGGTGAGAGCAGAGACGAGCCAGAGAGAGCAACCCCATTAGGAGCAGCTCCATGTCTAATGAATAAAATGCAAAGTTTGATATTGCCTGCTTAATTTCACAAATTCTTAATTGATATGACATTTTAAGTTAAAGGCTCTGGCCTCTCAGCGACCTCTGAGGTGTCAGACTGTAAATAAACCACACACACGCACAAACTCTCTCACGTAAACTCGACAGGCAGCCGCTGCTGCTTGTGGCTTTGATATTCTCTCATTAGCATAGCAACAGCAAGATGACCATCCGCAAGGGATACAGTAACCCAGGCAACCAGAGCTGGCCGGTCCAACTATGGGAACCAGAGGCACGAACAGAGCTCTCCTCCCAGTCCTCACAGTAATGCTTCAGTACTCACGGCTCTGAGCAAACGAATTTGCGCCCCAAGGGTGTAGCAATGGTTTGCAGTTTTTACCATAAGTGAGAAATACATTAACGTGTACTCGTAGTCATTTTTTGTTTCCTGAATCACATGGGTGACTTTGGTGAATTTTGAATAACGTTAAGTGTCTGCAGCCTCTTCTCAAGGAAACAGAAAGTTATAAATTTGCATGTGATTAAAGAGGAAAAGGTGAAAAAACACAGCGCTGTGTAGATGCTCTTCACTTTTTTTTCAGTAATGAAACTCAGTAGCGCTTTTAATGCCAGCCAAAATGTATCCGACATCAACTGCCAGCCATCGAAAGTTTGCACATAACCCTTTGTCCTTAAAAGCCACAAAAATGTCTTATGCTAATGCAACCTTATCACCATATTGCACAATTCTGCAAAACCCTGAATTTCCATCAGCCTCCTTTCTCACGACCCGTGCCAATCTTTTTTTGAGTTCCTGTTTTCTCTTAAGCTTGCTGAGCCCCAAGTGACTAAGAGCACATGAAGACTGCGGTTATGGTTAATAAAACACAATTTTTAATTGTGGCATGGAGTGAACGATACTTCTTCAGCACCCCGACACCTACAGTGTCTACCAAGGTACATGCTGGCATGAACTGTATGTAAAAGACAGAGCGCTGTGACATCACCTGTTAGACTGTGGTGTCCCAGAGGGTGGCAGATCTGACTGAGAAAGTGAGGGACACCGCATGCTCACAAGGTAAGTAATAAAGATTTTAACCATCACATGCAGCCAGGGCATCTTCAGTCACCCCTGACATTAATTCTCCAAGTCTCTGCAACACTACAGGACAAACCTTCTTCTTGAAGATATATATTTTTTCTTGTTTTGATGATGGCAGTTGTATAGAGCACCGTCAAACACATCATTCCAAAAACCTTCCATGTGTTTAACTTGGATGAGAGCACATGGTGGCTTGTAAGAAACGGTTCTTCTGAAAGATACCAGTGACATCAGACTAGAAATAACGCTTTCCTGTTTTAAAGGCTAAAACCCTTGTTAGAAGCTAAAACAATAAAATCACATTGAAACACATTAAAAACAATCATTCAGAACAACTTAATGGAGGTTGTCCAGGCTTAATGGTTTGGGATGATGATTTTTTGCAAGTCAACCCAAAAGATATCCTGGTATCTTAAAAAAACAACAACCCAAAAACCAAAACCCAATTCAACCCACAAATTTTGAGAATTTTAGTAGAGAGAAACCAAAGAGCAAAATGCTAACTCGTTTGTAATTTCAGGTCTAGTTCCTGCCACACTCTGTTGCTGCTTTATCAGGATTTGCTTATTGTATCTGTCTTTCTTACAGTTAGAAATGTTGCATTTACATTACTTGACACATAAAAAAAGTTACTCCCTTTAGGTTAGCTCCTCTTCTCAGACACTAGCTAAATGCTAAAGTATCACAACCACAACTTAGGGACAAAAATGCCATTCCGCTTCACTCCAGCCCCTGTGTATAGGACAGGTGTGCTTTAAAAACATAAGGATTAGAACATACATATATATTCATGTTAAAATATAGTAAAAAGTTATTAGAAAAATAAATACTCAAATGAAGTATTGACACCTGAAAAATCTCCTTAAAGCACAGTAATAATGTATTTTTATTAAGCAGTTTTGTGGTAGTTTTGCAGTGTTTTTTGGCGACTAGGCTCGGCTAGCATTGTTTATGCTAGGCTAAGCTAAACTGGTTTCTTTCTGGCAGTAGCACCGAACATGAACACACTGACAGAAAATAGAAAGGCAGTCTGATTTTACTCCTTGCACAAATATGAATGAGCCAACTATTCATTCAAAGTCCTCAGCAGTGCACGATTTTTTTTTTTAAAGTGGCTTTTTTTAAAAAAAATGTTTCTATTTGGGATGAGCTACTTCTCTCTAACAAACATTTGACTCATGTGCTATTTTTACTCTGTTCTCAGAAGACATTTCAGCCAAACAGCTCTTCACATTGAGTGAGACATTGTAACAAGCTCTCCACCCCTGTTCGTACCTTTCCCACCTCAATTGTAGACCGTGCTGCCAGGTGGAACTGTGTCAATCTCTCACTATCATTTGGCATGAAAACCTTGCAGATTTTTTTTTTCAAATGCATATGGTGGAACCTGCACAGACGGATACCTCATGCTGGCAATTTCATTCCACCTGTCAGTGTCTATCCCTTATGCCTGACATGTACAGGCGCACAGTCACGCACACACATGTGGGAGAACAGCGGAGGTGGTAGTGCTGTAGTTAATTAGAATGTAACGTATCAAACTGCATTTTCTCAGTACCTCCGTGTGTGTGGGGGGGTTAATTGTGTGGGCAGAGTGACTAGCTGCATAGCTGTTTGTGTTAATTCAACACAGAAACACAGGCTATGTATGGGAGTATCTAATAATAGAGACATGGACAGATTGGAAAATCCTCTGCCCAGGAAGAAGAAAAGTGCTTTAACTACATCTCAGAGTAAGCAAAGAGGCAGCGGGAGGAGAGCAGGAGGAGGAGGAGGGAAAAGTTGAGGAAAAACGAAGACGAGGGAGAAAAAGGGTTTGTTTTCCACTCTCTGTTCGTTCTTTGTGATCATGAAAAAGCAATGCTGTTCAGTTTCTGGATGCCGCTGTGGTGGTATACAAGACTTTTCAGCACCACATTTGCCTCCTTGCTCTTTGTGTGCAGACCCTTCGCAGGCCTCCCAAAGACACAACTCTTTAATGAGCATATTGATCAGTGTTTCTCACACCTTCATTTTCCCCACAGAGAAAGGAAGGAGGAGAAAAGGATACAAGGGGAGGGGGGAGGAGAAAGCGATGAAGAGACGAAAGCTTTAGAAAAGCTTTAGACTCACAAAGTGGGTTTTTTTTCTAAAGACCGCAGGGGAGTCAGCTTTGTGCCTGTAAAATTCAATTTACCTTTTCACAGATGGGCTGTACTGCAGCTGGTATTGAGGTGCACAACTCGTAAACTGCTCTGAATGTGTGTGTGTGTGTGTGTGTGTGTGTGTATGCTCCTCGTATTGCATGTGCATTAGTGAATATCCATGTGTGTGTGTGTGTGTGTGTGTGTGTGCACATGTGCAGGTGTTTGTGTGTTCATGTGTGTGAGCAAAAAAAAGCAGCAGTGTAAGCCACCCTGGTGTGAACCTGGGCTTTCTCTCGGAGCGCCGTCTCGCTCCGGTCGCTTCTCTGCATCACATTACTTCTCCACCTCCACCCACCCAGCAGCACAGAGAGAATGGGAGGGAAAGAAAAACATTACAAACAAAAACAAGACGAAAAAAAACATCAAAGACAGCCTGTGAGAGCAACTTAAATTGCTGGGATATGAGTTCTTTGTTGACTCGAGGGAGAACAGTCAATACTGTGCAGTTTGGGGGAGGTGGCTCTGTTGTTAACATCCATCCCTGTGTCTCCTGGGTGTGGGGCTGCACTTTAACAAACACTATGTAAGTGATAATAATATGCTATGTCAGCAGAACATCCGGTTCCACTTTGTATGCGACCCGAGTTCTTTCAAGTGACGCTCTGCAGTGACATTTCCTCACAAAATCAATTCCTCTCAGCCAGCCAGACAGCTTGCTTGGCCACAGAAAACATCTGAAGATTACATGCTTGTTTGCACTGGTAACTCTGCTAGTAAAACTAGTGACAAGATAGGACAAGGAACACTTGTAGATAATGTTTTATTAGATATTGAGTGCATATGCTCTGTAGCGCTGATGTTACAGAGCATATGCACAACCCTAAAATGCTACAGAGCTGGTTAACTGACAATGTTGGAAAAGCCATAGAAAGTAATTTTTCACATTATCTACACAGAAAAAAACAAACATGCATGTTCAACTGCAGTGCTTATTTTTATTGTGTTTATGTGATGTTTGTATTTTGTGCCACATCTTTGTACCGGCCAAAAACAGCCCTCTTTCTTCCAGTGTGGAATGTGTCTCCTTACCCACACCGGCAGCATGCAGGTCCACTGTTCTGAGTTTGCAAGGTCCACAGCTTTCCACAGGAATTGCATGTTGGCTTTTAGAGACGATGACGACGATGGCCATATGACAGACGTACTTTAGCAATAACCATAATGTTGTTGCACTGGCCCACACAGCAATTATTACTGCCCTCTATTGAAGCCTGAACTTGCAGGGTAACTCCATTATTCTGTGTTATTTTGCTGTGTTCAGAAAAACAACCAGATAACAATGAAGAAGTTATCCACTATCTCCACCACCTTCCAGAGATTCTGGGAGGCACGCAAAACAGCATATGC